GTTTTTGGGTTCGAGTCACGAAAACAATGAAAAAAAAAGTTATTATGGATCATAAACTTTTATCATAATGAGAGTAACATGGAAACAAATTTGAGCCTCAGAAAATTAGGTTAACTTATTAATATCAAGATAAGTTTATCCTGACATTCATGAGATTATCTAGCCAGGGGTTAATATATTATGTACATTACTCAACCCTCTCAGAATTCACGGAGAATCAGAACCATGGTGTGAATTACACCATGACTCAAGAATCTATCTAACGGTAAAATAGTTTTTCGTTAAATTTTTTTTCTCGCCTCGATTTCAACGGAAATGATGGTTTCTTCATTCTCGTTATCATTTATTTCATGGTTCAGTTTCTTGTGTCTTCATGAGTTAAATTATTAGATATAACTCATGAGCCATGATTATACAATTGTAACTATTTGAATTATATTAGTTGAAATATAATCTTAATATCACTTAGTTAATTTACTTTTAAATATCATTGGTTTCAAGTCTATTATCAAATCTCTTTAATGAGCTTTGAACTGTTCATTAATGAATAATATTAAATTTTCAAATTCCCTCGGGGCATCATTATCATAGATTTCTTATTATTTTTTTACTTAATTGTAGAAAATTTTCCCACCCACTCTTATTATCATTTAGTTATTAATTATCTTTCTCTATCCATTTCTTGATTGTTAACTTTGTATCTCTGTAACTGTCTCTAATTGATTAGAAATATTTATTAATAAGTCTAAACAATTAGCCAGTTGATGATGTGATTTAGATCAATTCTGACCTTAATTTTTTCTGAACTTATATCAACAATTATATCATAATACTTGTATAACTATCATGATTATCAATCAAAACTTATTTACAACAAGTAATATAATTATCATCATTAACCTCATGGGATATAAAGTTAAGAAAGTCCTTCTTTTCATGAGATTAAATTTCATCACACTTAATGATTAGTTTGTAAACAAATCAAGTAAAGTTAACCTTTATAATAATCTAATTTACGTTCATTGATTATCCAAGTCCCAGTGAATAATCAATTATGATTTCAGGAATCATCGTGAATATCATGAAATGTTCACGATCTTAACTTTATATAAGTAGATGAAATTAATTTGAGGTTTTCCATGTTAATTTAATTTCTTATGTCAACATTGAACTAATTGAGAAACATTCTGAATTATGAGTAGACATGATCAGGGTTAGAAAATTAGAATCTGAATCACTTGAGTCACTTCTTGAAATCTTCATGAAAGTTACATTTGTAATTCAAGTTCTCAAATTTTATCTTCTTCCTTTTTACTCATCACTCCATTTACAAAACTCTTTGGAAAATTTTCTTTCCTTCCATTCATGAATTTACTGAGAAAATTTACTTTTACAGAATTTTCATCTTCTGATTGAACTTGAATATTTCTCCATGATGTAAATCATTTTTACCTCATTTCCGCAAATATTTCTACTTTCCTATTCTATTCATCATTCACCATCATTGATAATCAGAATTTCATTCATAACAATAATCATCATCGATTGGACAATAATAATAAGAAATTTCTCCAAGTTGGTTGGCAATAATATTCACTTGAAGATGCATGTGTATTAATATAATTCTGGTCTTGAGTTTATCTATTTTGAAACATAATTTACCATGGAAATTGAGTAAACTTGAAAATCATGATCTGAATGATGAATATCATCAAATATAATCAATTTGATTTTATATCTAACCAATAGATGCATGAACATGATGATGAAGTTTCTCAACTGTAAGATTGGTTCAAAATCCCAACTTATCAGATAAACTTAATCAATCAACTAACAATTCAGGTTAACTATCTTGATGAATCATTAAAAGAAAAATCTTGATTTCAGCATCCTAATTGTAATTGTGACAATCTCCTAATTCATAGATGATGATTCGTGAGCTTTTATATTGATCTAGTTAACTAATTGCTACCGTTAAGTTGTAGTAGACAGAATCATCATTTTTTCCTGTTCCAGGGATTTCTATTGACTCTACAATGATAACTTTATTCTCATCATCATTGTCACATCTTTCTTAATTTTCTGACTCATTTCATCTATTATCTTGATCATTATCATCATAATCATCGCCATGTACTCAGTTACCTTTATCATGATTTCCCCTTCTTGCTATAAATACCTCGAACTATTCTATTATTACTGAACTAGGAATAACTGAGGGATGAAAAATATGACTTGAAGATCGAGTTTTTAAATCCATTCTATCAGAATGCTTAGAACTTGAAGATTTGATTTAATTCTAAAATCAGGCGAGAAATTTATTGAATCATTTGGAAGAAAAAAAAGGAAGAAGGAGAAAAAACTAAAGTTCTATTTCTTTTGAAATAATATTAAACACTCAATCAAGTCCCTTAACCTTGATAATCCCTTTGAGGTAATCGTATCATCAAAGAAATTTATTGATTGTTGTTAAGGGTTACAATTGTCAGAATTAAATATAACATGACTTTTGAAGCTTATCATGATAACCCGGAAGCAATTTCATGATAATAATGATAAAAAAGTGAAGAAAACTTTTCAATCAGACTTGATCGTTGAGAGTTGAGGCTAGATTATGATAAACATTGAATTTCTGATCAAATTTATACATAAATTGAATTATTTAAATCTGATTACAATTCCTAGAATGCTAAATTTAACCTTTAAACGATCACAATTAAACCTGAATAATACAACTACAACAGTGATAAAAAACTGAAATCGATCATGAATCAATATGCAATTACCCTGATTGTCTATGTAATCATTAACAATTTAGATTCAGTTTTTTTTTACAAAGGTTTCATTTCTGTGTATCTAATTTAGATCAATGAATAACAGTGACAAATTGTATACAATTTAAAAATGAAAAATGTTCTTCCTGTTTTGTTTCCTGGTTCTACTCGAGCTTGGAGACAATAGGAAACGATTCTTGTGATGACAAGAGAGAAAATGTAAACTCGAAACTTTACTCAGTTTGAAAATTCCTTCACCAATGAATATATACCATTGGAATTAATTTGATTACAATGATTGAATCTCATTTACTATTCTTGAAAGTGAGATATTATTCACAGAGTGAATGAGGAGAAAAGTCAGTATGGGAGGATGAAGAAGACTATTAAATTAGATGTGACAAATTGTATCTGAAAATGAAGAGAGAAAAGACAAATAATTGAACAAATTGTGTGGACTTTTTTATCCTTCCACTTCCATCTAATCCTTTTCCACCTCTCTACTCTACCTTCCACTTCTTACCAATCATTGGAGATGATAATTTGCTCGGCAAAAAATGTCCACCATTTAAATCATCACTTGATTCCTCAATCACTTCATGATTGATTCAGTTGAATGATTACAATCGATTCAGCTTATTTATCTCCTTCCCCTTGAATCCATCCCTGTCAATTACATTTCAATCAAACTATTTCAATAACAATTCTCGTTACATCAGTCATATTTTTCTCGCATCACTTATATTCATCTCTTGAAAGTGAAAATAATTTGAAATCGTGTCCACGATCAATTGATTGTTGTTAATATCAATGTAAACACTTAAAGTTTTCTTGTTATTTTCAATTAGAATTACATTTCCATTGCCATAAATAAGACACTTGAATCACAATTGTTGACTTTACATTATCAAATCAATTGAATCAGAAAATCTTAACATTATCATCATCTTAATAGTAACATCATCATCGATGATAACTCTTGACATGATGATGAAAAGAAAAACTAAAAGATTATCATCAAATATTTGGACACATGATAATTTTTCAGTTGATTTAATTGTAAGTGTAAAGACACAAGGAGAGAAAAATAAAAATGAGATGATTTCATTTGGGTGATATATTATTTGATCCATTGATTTAATAATCATTTATATTATTACTGGGAGTGAGAGTTGGTTGATGTGGATGATGATGGAGAGATGATACATTAAGATTCCCAATGTAATTCAATGATCATGTATCATGTATCACCTCCTTAGAGATATGTGAGCTTGATAAAAGTGAAGAAAAAAGTTTTCTATCAATTTATCATTTCAAATGATAATCATAATTGAAGAGGTTGAAATGATTCAGTTTTTCATTGATATTTACAATCATCTATTCACTCAATTCATGATGAACTTTTTTCATATATATAATTCAATTTATTAAATTGAGATGATTATCATTTTTTACCCTTTTAAATATTCATTGATTATTGCTGATAATTAAACTCTACGATTCAATTGTATTAGAATTTTCAATTACTCGAAAAAATTATTTAACCTTCGAGGGTAAACCTGAGGAAAATTCAGTAAAAATCATGATGGTGATGAATATTGATTTAATTAGTCGGTAGGTTGTCCCCCTGTCGCTGATGAGGAAACTAATTAAACCATACTGATTAATATTCTGATTGCAATTAATTTCAAATGTACACACAAATTATAATATAAGGGTTGTTAATCTAATTGATTAATTACTGTGATATTAGTATTTTCTCTCAATTAATGAATGGATTATCATCATTATTATCATCGTAGATTGAAAACTAGATGAAGGGGAAAATTTTTCTCATTAATTTTCATCAATAAGATTTGATAATAAACGATTTCATACCAGAATTATGATCTAATGTAAATCTTAATCATAACTCATATCAAGAAAAAAAAATCCAAAGCTAATCATCCAACTAATTAAAACTAATGATTGATTAAATAATCCAATTTGAAAATTATTAGAAATTAATCTCACACTATCTTATATCGAAAAAGGTAAATTAAATTGTTGGAATCAATCAGATTATAGTTTAGCGTTATTAGATTCCAATTCAGTTCTTTCTTTCTATTTTGAGAATTATTTTATCTCATTCTTATGATAATCTGGATAAGATAATTAAATCTTTTTATTTACCTTTTTCTTTCTCTCTCTCTCTCTCTCTCTCTCTCTCTCTCTCTCTCTCTCTAGTGGGTCGAATCAAAATTGACCTTGATATAAATTCCAATGATTGGACCTCAGATGAATCAACATGGCATTCAACTGCTCTTAAACAGGGTGGCTCATGGGAGCCAGAACATTGTAATGCTCGTCATCGAGTAGCCATAATTATACCTTATCGGGATCGATTGGAACACCTTAGGATATTATTACATCATCTTCACCCGATCTTACAGAGACAGTTATTAAACTATAAAGTTTACGTAATCGAACAGGTAATTGTTTATTATATTAATAAAAGCAATTAAATTGACCATTGAATCTTGTTGGTTGCAGAAAATTTCAAATTAACATAACTAGAGCTAAATGAACAACATTATCAACAATCTAATACTTTTAGAAAACTCTAATTAATTTTCAACAATAGTTGAGCATTTGAACAGCAATTAAGGTCTTATGATGATGATGGTCTAAAATTATTAGAGTATAATTAATGTTAAAACAAAGTTTGTAAACTATTTAATTCACCCTAATTATTAATTACGATTTTCTTTACAGCGACTTACTCTCAAACTTTTCAACAATCAAACAATTTTCCTTCTTAATTGTGAATTAAGGTTTAACAGTTGGAGGAACAATTTTAAATTAACAAATTTACATAACAATAGTTGATATTTTTGCTTAACAAATGAACTTGGTCGGTAGTGGCCTGAACTTTTTCGTTGTCTAAAAGTCAATGTATTGACCAAATATCGCTTTTCAAATTCTGTTCTGAAACTTTTTTCTTCTCTTTTTTTCTTTATATTAATCGACAAGTCTGGGAATGAGACATTCAATAAAGGTGTCCTCATGAACGCCGGTGTTAAAGAAGCCTTAAAAGATAGTGATTATCATTGTTTCATCTTTCATGATGTTGACCTGATACCTGAAGATGATAGGAACCTTTACTCTTGTCCATTTGAACCTCGTCATATGTCCGTTGCTGTAGATAAATTTAATTACTCGTAAGTATCCAAAAAATGATAAGTTATTATGATCATGTACAATTCATGAGAAAAAATATATCATGTTTCATATAAGTGAAATAAACACCATGACAATAATATCAGGTATCCAATTGAAATTAGTAAACTGACCATCTTCATAATGGCAGAAAAGAAAGAGAGAGAGAGAAATAATCATGAAAATTGTATTTTCAAATACAAAGATCATGGTATCATCATGATATTTACCAATCTAATGTCCATTCATAAGGAATATAAATAGTGACCAATTATTCAATATTATTATTCCTCCAGGCATGGAAACTGAAAAATGAAATCTCCACATTCTATTGCTCTCCCTTGTTAACCTTTTCTATTGACCTATTGACCAACCATGAAAATCTCATGATATTGAATCGTAATAAATATAATGATTTTTTTCTTCATATTAAGTGGATAGAAATTGAATATCAACAATATCAACGGTACATTGAGCACTTATGATAATACATTTTACATGCAAATCATCTGATTAGTATTATTGAAACAAATACAAAAAAACTTTTCCATCAACTTTTAATCTAATTGAAGGTTACAATTACAATTGATTGCAGTTAATAAGCGAGCAGCTCAACTAATTGAAAGAAATCTACATATAAACACAATTATGGTTTTCGGTTGTTAATTGTCCATTATGATTATGACATTGGAACAACATAACTTTTTCTCTCAAATTATGAATAGAAAATCAAATTGTCATTATTAATCGCTGTTAATATACACCAATTAGAACTTTATTGTTATCGAAGTTTTTTCTTGGCTTCTCTCCTCTTTTACTCCCTAGTCTTCCGTACGCTTATTTGGTTGGAGGAGTTTTCGCCATTACCAAAGCTGATTTCGTCCAGGTAAATGGCTATTCAAACCTCTATTGGGGATGGGGTGGGGAAGATGATGATATGGCTTACAGGTAAGTTAATTAACTTTCATATCCTTGAATCAGCAATTACAATTATTGGTTGACTTGATTAATGTAAACAAAAAAAAGCTACACTGATTTACAGATAATATAAATAATTTTTGTTGTAAACTAAATCGCATTATTATCCGGCAATCACTTTAATTGAAAATTAACTCTATTCACTCATCCATTTAATTATCATCGTTATTAACAATCAACTTGTAACAACAAATTATTATCTTTGTTTATTGATTGTTTATGGAGACTTTTGACTTAATTGCTATCAAATCTACTTGATCATTATAACTTTAATTATCGGCAGAGTTTTTTTTATCATAATATACAGAAAAATATATTTACATGTAATATATACTCAACAATTACTTGATTGTCCAAATTGTGGTTAACTTAACAATCAAAATAGCAAATTATGGTTAGTCATTTATTTGATGATAAATTGATTGATACTCTTTTTTTAATCATTAAATCATTGGAGATTATTATTATCTGATCGATAAACAATTTAACTTTTTAATAGTTTTACCAGATAGAAATTGAAATTTCTATTAATAATTTAGTGAATTAGGTGATTTGCTTCATAGGTTTATCTATTACTTTGCTGATCTAATTCAGCCTAAGGGTAAACAATTTAAATGTAAAGTTTAATTGTATTATTATATTTAGAGAGTGACAAAATTGGAAGAAAATTAAAACTGATTGATTAAATTGTGACAGTCAGCAAACGTGATAATAACAAGTTGTGATTAAAGATTATCAATTGATGTGGTCAAGTATTTTGATAGTTGTTATTAGTTTGCATTGACCATTAACTGGTTTATCTATTTGATTGTTACATTTATCAGATTAATTTAGATTGAAAAACAAACTTTATCCATAAATGGACAATTAACTTTAATGGATGTGTTTCTAATTCCTTGTGATAGTTGTGATTTAATCTTGAAGAAAAGTTGACCAACACAAATGATAATCAATTCAGTGACTTTCAATATAACCAATGAGCATTATCACCAAAATCATTTCAACAGAATTCAATATAACCATAACACTAAAAGAAAAATAAAGATAAACATTTAACACATCAAGTTCCCAGGGTGTAGATTAAGTATTATCACCTCATTGTTTCTCAGAATCAACATTGAATGTCCATTATAGCGGACATTGGACATGAACGTTCGAACATGAATTAGAAAATCGAGAAAACGAAAACAAAAATGGATTAACTTTCAGTCTCTTTTTCTTTCTCTTTTATTGTTATTCTTTTTCTAATCATTCAATTGATTAAATAAAAGCGAAAACAACTTTAATCAATTAGTATTTGTCGTAATTGATATCAAGATAAATTAGTTATTGATAATAATTAATAATCAATCATCACAATTGGAAATGTAATAAGTTGAAGGATAATGAGTATACATGAATACTGAAGCCCTCAGGCTATTGAATGATAAGTTGGAATGGTTATTATGTGTTGATACAATGAGAGGAGAGAAATTTATCAAGCTTATATTTCCCTAATCATCATCATCATATCTTGTCTATTATTAAAAGATGAAGATTATGTTCAATAGAACAAAAAAAACAGAAAATTCGAGAGAAAACAAATATTACAGAATCGCAATAATTTCATGGAAACTGTTTTCATCTCTTCGTGATGTTTATCCATTATTAGTATTCTGATAAATGCTCTGATGAGTATATATCAATATTTTACTGCCTTGAGGGTGAATAGTTGGAGATTATGTTCACAGAGAAAATCTCATGTTCTATTTATTTTTTTATGACTTTTCTCTCTCTCTCTCTCTCTCTCTCTCTCTCTCTCTCTCTCTCTCTCTCTCTCTCTCTTCCATGAGATGAGTCTCACTGTTGAAATGAAATTATTATTATTGTCTCTTCATCTTCATGATGAACAACCATGATATTGAATTCATCCTCGCGCATGAATGAGATGGATCTGTTTCTCTGAATATAAAGTTATATCTATTGGTTTTCATGGTGGAAAAATTTCTTCCACACAATCAGATTTACTCTGAGTTTTTCAATTGAACTTTTTTAAACTTTTCCTGATTAGTTTAATCAAAATCCAATAGCTAAAATCAGCAAGATGATTAATTGTTGAAGCTAATTGATTCAGTTTAATCATGTTTGTCAACTTTTAACTTTATCATGATTGATTTCGAGTCAGATGATTAACTTTGATTCTGATTCATTAATTTTCTTCATTATTATCATCATGATATTGTAAAAGTTGAGGTTGATGATGAAATTTGAAATTGATTTATTTTCACTTAACACAAACTTTAATTTCTTCTCAATTTCGATATTAAACAAATTACAATTTTTCGTTTCACTTTGATGAGGATACTCACACACAAACCAATTTCAACTAAGATCGGGACCACAACCAGACTAACTATACTGGTTATTCAACCTTATTTTTATATGAAATTTTTCTCTCTTTCTATTTTCTCTGTCGACAATTCGTGGTACTTTGACTTTTACCTTCATTATCACCTTGATCTTTGTTTGTTTTTCTCGTAACAATTTCTTAATTAAAAGCGACTTTGGACTAACTAATTAAGTGAACACCTAAATCAACATTAGATAATTTTCTCGATAACCTTTTAATTTTTGGATCATTACATTCACCCCTTCTAGTTAGTCCGAAGCCTCTTGAGGAACAATTAACTAATTTAACTAAATTAACGAAACTAACTTTTTTTTTGGGTCAATACTATCGAAGCTTGCGATAGATCGCTCAACCGTTCGGTCGTAGTTAACAACAACTATGGGGTCATTTCTGTTTCCGTCTTTCTATTTGCAACAACAATAACACAACTTTTTCTTCTTATTCGCCTTCATTATTCATCTTAAAAATTTTTTTTTTTTTTGTTTATTTTGATTATTGAGTTTTTTTTTTTATTTGTTTCTTATTCAAAATTTTCATCTCTTATTACCTTAAAAAATTTTTTTTTCTTCTATTTCTACTTTCACCATGTCGGCAAAGGTTTACTCCGATTTTCTACAGGTAAAAAAAAGAAACTTCTTACTCATTTTCTTATGTAGATTCATATTAATTTTGTTTTGTTATTCTTCTATTTTTCTTTCTTATTGTATGTTAGTGTGTGGCTGAGGTTAGGGCGATGATGGAAACATTTGCTTCTATTTCTGACTCCAATGAATATTTACGCGCGGTCATTACAATGAATAGAATGTCACCCATTGCTACAGATGTCGAGGCATTTTGTGAATCCATGATTTTTTTAGAGGAGGGAGATGATGAAGAGGAAGATGCTGATAAGGATGAGGATGGAGATAGGGATGAAAAGGATCATAAGGATGAAGGAAAGGGAGATAATAAATTGGAGGAAAATGATGTTGATGATGATGATAATTTTCCACACCCAACTATTTTATTAAAAAAAATGAACGAGGGAGAAATTTTTGACCTGAAGTTTCCAGCATTAGTCCATATTCGCAGGCGACTAACCAATAACCCATATCCTTTCATTAATCGCTTATTATCTGAGCTGATTAACACTCCGCACTATGGGTTCTGGGTCGGGTTTTCAACCGCTCAGGATCATTTAAAATGTCGATTTTGCCCTTATTGTTTTAAGGTGAAAGAGCCTAAACGGTGGAAAAACTTAATTTCTCACCTGGTCCACTCTCATGCAAGGAAAATTCCTAATTGCAACGGGATGATTCCCTCTCTCCAAAAAGTTTGGAATAAATTCTACTGATTGATTCAATAAATTTTTCTTTTGAATTTGAATTTAATTAACTGTTGACTTCCTTTTCCTTTTGGACTAACAATAATAAACTTATGAGAGTAACCTAGAATACTTGGACTAACGACACTCAGAAGGTGATGATGACTCGAAATTGTGGACTAACCATACTTAGACGATGATGAGAACTGGGTGAGGTGGACTAACGATACTTAGAGGCTAATGATGAGTAGGAAATGTGGACTAACGATACATAGACGATGATGGTGATTGAAAAAGGTGGACTAACCATACTTAGACGATGATGATGACTCGAAATGGTGGACTAACCATACTTAGACGATGATGAGAACTGGGTGAGGTGGACTAACCATACTTAGACGATAATGATGACTCGGAAATATGGACTAACGGTACCTAGAGGCTAATGATGATTAGAAAGGTGGACTTATGGTACGCAGAGGTGGATGATGACTTGGTAACGTGGACTAACAATAACTAGGCAATGTGGATGACTTGGTAATGTGGACTAACGCTACTTGGATGATGATAATGCCTATTCAGACGGACAAAACTGGTGGTGGAGGAGGAAAATCGAATCTTGGGATGGATCTAATTAAACGACGACGGGCTAATTGGATGGAATCTTGTGAGGATGGGTTGATCGTTTCGACTGGCTTCTTCTTTTGATACTGAGGATGATAAATCTTTCAAATCTTATCAACTGTTGTTCGGCAATTACTTGATCGTTGACACTGGTAAACATTTCTAAGTTTTGTGTGAGAAAACTGGTTTATAAAGCCACCAGCGATGTAGAAACTCGTGGTCAAATCTAGCGCAAATAATTGACTGGACTAAAGGTGAAAAAGGTGATGAAGATTTCGTGTTTATGTCAACTCCAACTGAACCATTAACAGGGGCGGTGTTAGACGTTCTCCAGATGATCAGATCGGACTTGGTCGACACTGACTCACTGATCGGGGGTGAGAGGGTGGTTAATGCTATGAGACTAATCAATAACACGGGTGAAAATCTCATTGGTACGTTTCTGATTCGAATGGATCGGCGAGGGGTTAGGTTAGGTGAGGATGATTCAGACGCATTATTTTCTTTCAAATTATTTTTGGAGATTTGTTGTTAGCCTTAACTCGAACTACAGTGGATAATGGATTAGGATCAACTGTTCTTAACTTTGGGTCTATTGCATGAAGGATTGCCAGCTGAAGGTGACTCCCTTTGTGTTTCTAATATTATTTGCGA